TGGCTGGGAAAATACCCTGGGGAGGAGGGGATTGCTTGGGCCCATGAGCCAGGCTTCCCCAGGGACTGTAGCAGAGCTGAAGGATATAGCCTTGCAGGGAGGGGTGTGGGTGCTGGTGTTTTCACCAGCGGCCCAAGGCTGGTGGTCTCAGTGAGCGGAGGGTGGGAGCTTGACTCTGAGGGACCCCCAGCAGTGCTGTTGTTATACCCTGGAGAGGTGAAGGTTGGGAACTCTCTCTGCACTCCTGGCCATCTGAACACTTGTTCTGCTGGGAGGTGGGGGACTGGACCTAACCTCTTCTGCTGGAAGGGAAACTGAGGCAGCACACCCAGAGGTAAGTGACTCCTGAGTCTGCCCCAGAACCCCCATGCACACCCCTGGGGATGTTCCCTGTCACGCCATGCAGAGCTTGATAGCCCCTCCCTGCTCTCTGCACAGCTCCCCATGCCCCCAATCTCCTAAATGCCAACTTAGAAGGCCTGTGTCACTGCTGTGCCTCTGACACTCGTGTGATAATTTTCACACACCCCAGGAGCTGGGGGAGTGCCAAGCCCTGCCCTGCAGATGGGGAGGTGCCTCATCTGGGCTTGTGCACAGAGCCTGCATTGGAGCCAGGAAGTGAACGCAGCTCTCCTGGCTCCCAGCCCAGCGCCTTAACCAGCAGCCTCCTACTCTGCCGCCTCCCTTGCTCCCTCCAGCCCTGGGTGCTGGGGGCAAGGAGAGGGGCTGCTAACCCCCCCCCCCCCACACACACACACACGTCAATCGGAGGGAGGAAGCTGAGCACATCCCTGTTGGCAAATGGAGTCAAATTCTCTTCTCCCAGCATCAGCCTTTGTGGGTTGTTTAGCACCGGGGGAGGGTGAGTCGGCTCCCCTTTCCCCCCGGCCCTGCCCCAGCCAACTGAGCAAGAGCTGGGGGTAGGCTAGCGGTATCGGTGATTCAGTAGGGGGCGCTCTCCATTGTTAGTGCTGACCCCAGTGCCCCAGGCTGGCACTAGGGGGTGCTGTGCTGTAGGGGGGGGGGAGCGGGGGGCTCTGTAGAGGATGCCTTCCCCTGGGAGTCACTGCTGACCCCAGAGCTAAGGGGCGCTGTGCTGCAGGGAGCTCCCCATTGGGGCCGTCTCCCAGGGCAGATCAGACTCTCTCTGCCCCTCCAGTCTGGCTGTAAGTGTCCCACGTATTATGATTAAGTGTTGGAGCCCATTCCCCCGCCTGAGAGCTCTTCCTACCCCGGCTTGAGATGGGGCTCGGAGGCTGGGTAGAGGAGAGTGGGGTCGGCTGATGGAGAAGGCAGCTGCCAAACGGCCGGCTGCGGTGTGAATCCGTGCATGGCCGTGGGTGCCCCAGCAGCACGCCGTGTGCGCGCTCCCTCACGTGCTCACGGCCTGTTTTCGGTCTTGCTTTCTTGGCAGCTGTCCCTGATCCTGCCTGGGGGGGAATCATCTGGGTAAACGAAGTGACATTCTAGAAATTCATGAGCTCTGCTAATTGAGTTGATCTAGGTAAATTAGTGCAATTAGAACGGCGCTGCAGCAGGCAGCTGCTTTGTTCGCCAGCTCTTGTCTGATTGGCGCGGCGCTGGGGATTAACAGCTCACGCGGATACAGCCCGTTCCCCAGCAATCCGGGCCCGGTTGCTCCCGCTTCTCGGGGCTCATCTTTAGAAGCTGATCTCGCACCTTGTCTCTTTCCACCTGCTCCTCTAACAACCCCGGGCAGCAGGGAGTTCGAACCCCGCTCCGTCAGAGCAAACGCCTCTGCCCCTGGAGCTGAGGAAGTAACTCCTTCGGCTGGTAGCAGTAGTTGGCTCTTACCCTCAAAGGGGGCCCAGCCACCAGAGCAGGAGGTGAGACAGACTGCTCGGGTGGGTTGCCCTTGCTCAGTTAGCATTGGCCTCCTCCGCCACCCTTCCCATAGTCTCTGCACGCTTGGCGTGAGAGCTCTCGTCCCGCTCCTGGTGTCTGGCACTGTCTCCCTGGAGCTCTGCCTGGTCCGCAGAGCAGCAGCAATACAGATTGTCCAGTGGCGCTGGATGGTGCTGTCCATGTCCCCTCGTCCCTAGTGCGCCCTCTACGGGCCAGCCCGTTCTCTCTCTAGCGATCACCCCATTTCCAGCCCTGCCTCTGGGGATTGTCTCCCCCCACGAACACTGGCCCTGC